ACGTGTTTTATGTTTTTTCGAAATTCATCCCATAAAAAGGTAAAATAGGGATGAAAGTTTGTATGAAACATACTTTTTAGAGTTTTTCTGTAGTTTTAGCGCGAGCAAAGCCGCGGGTTCTGCTAGTATATTTATATGTAAAAATACAAGAAAAAATTATGACGATAAAAGTTATGACGATATCTGTATGGAAATGAGATAGTTGTTTATTTGCGTGCTAACGTTTGCCCACAGTTGTACTCACCCTCGCTTGGCTTCGGGTTCGTGCCGAGACAAAAACAAATATATCCCACAGGAATCGTAAATTTTTCCATGATAAAAAGTACCTTTGTGCTATTTCAGACTATAATCTATCTCTGTGCCATAGTAATATAGTATGGATTCATTACTTACTCGATTTCTAAAGCTCGTAGCGCGATGTTAGATAGCCCATTTACTTCCTTAATAGATAGGCTATAAAATGGTAGTTCCAAAACAAGTTAAAACCAACCCCTGGTTTCCTAAAGGATAACCAAATGTATCCTTGTTTTTAACTTGTTAGGGGTTTATAACCTGACTTTTAGTAAAGTACTTTTACACCTTTTTAATAAGGTTACAATCAACAGATTTTATGTATTATTTCATAGGGTTAACCCTTTTTATTTAAATTAACCACTATGTTTTCCAATAACAGATTAACCTATATACCTAATAATGTGTTACCCTGTAAACAGTGTGATAACTGGTACTAATTACAATATTATTCTTTAAAATTATGGATAGAAAACACATATTAGAATGAAGTAGAGTAAACCTCAAAATTTTCAGACGAATAGGTAGATTTCATTTTCTATACTTTATGGTTTACATTCTATTACTATCAATTAATAGTTTTTGTTTAACCCCATTGATTGACTTATAAACTAAGTAGTAACCCTTTAGATTGGGTAATTCTATAATGGGATTATTATTACAAATGACGAACACATTTTGCTAAAAGATGGGTTACACATTTAATGGGTGACCAGGTTTTACGAAAATCATTTTGAATAAGCGACCATTTTTTTCGGTTAGTTTTAACTTAAAACTAGCAAATAAACAAACTTCAGTTCTATATAAGTATTTTATTTCATTTCTATCAAAAAATCGTATTACAAACGTATTGCTTGTATCCTATATATGGAAAATCACACAGTAAGCGTCAAGTGCCTACTTCATTATTCGTGTACTTGCCTCGGCTCAAACGTCTATGGAAATGCAAATAAACCTTGAATTTTTCATTTCCGCTACGCAAATTCTCAGAGCCCAGAACATGTTGATTACACCTACCCTACAATTTCCTAACATATCGACGTCGCATTTAAAGTATCTTAACATTATACGCAAAATAGAATTGTATATGTATGTATGTATGTATGTATGTGACTACTTGCTGTACCAGCGGTCGCGGGTTCGAGTCCCGCTGGGGGCATTCATTTGTGTGTTGAACATGAAAGTTTTTACTTCAGTCATTATAATATGTATAATGTATGTATTTCAAGTTGTGCGTGTAATGTATCAACTATCTGGAATCCATAACACAAGCCTCGTAGCTTAAAATGGAACTAGATGGTGTTGTGTGTTAATGTCCCAACATATTTATATTTATTTATTATTATGTACATTGTACAATTTCATACATACGTACTTTAATACATCTACATATATAAATAGGCAAAGACAAAACAGTTGAGTACTTTTTTTTCCTCTGCTTGTCAAACGACTTTCTTTATTTTGTCTATTGACGAGCTTTAGTGTATACATATGCGGCGGGGACATGTCACATGAGCTATATCTTATCGATGCTACATTCTAATATAAAAATAGCCCTAAGGCCACGTTTGAGCCCTATTATTATATATAAGGCCATAATTGATGAAAAATTATATGTAAGCTACATCACAATGGCAAAAAAAACATAAATGAAAAAGATAGTTTCATGTATTATATATATTCTTCTAATTTATACTTATATTTCACTAGCGACTCACCCTTGCTCCGCTCTTGTTCGTCCCTTGGTACTTTTTAACGGTTAGTATAGATTTCTCAGAGATGAGATGTTTTCCCGCAGTAGAAAGTATTCTAAATGTTGAGCCACATAATCAACTATCATCATACCAAATTTCATCCAAACCTAGTCCAGTGGTTTTCCCGTGCTGCGTTCCCAGATAGACAGACAAAAATTCTAAAAACTATAGATTCGATTTCTGTATCGATAATAATGACTATTTCAATTAGACTTTCCAAAAAATATTTTATGTACAGATTCGACTCAGAATTTTATTATATGTATAGACTAGGTCTTAATCGCGACTACGCTTATGATAAAAAATAAAATGTATATTAAGATCAGATCGGAATTTCCCTCGAATCCGTTAAGCCGTTACAGTATGAACAAGTAACAGACTTACTCGCATATAACCTTTCGAATGTATGTTATTAGTATGATAAATTACACTTAGAAACCTTTACAATTCCCACAAGGATATTATCCTACACGAACCAAATAAAAAACAGTTGCAAAAAAGTCCGCCGATGTCATACGTATAAATTAGCGAGGGGCGGGCGTGTAGGGCGGGCACGTAGGGCGCGTAAAGTATATTTTTCAGGCAGTATATTACCAGGCTTACCTCTGCCAGACGTTCTTCGACCGTTAGGGCGTCGAGCTGGAATAAAATTAAGGGCTCTGACAAATTGAGCGGTTACAACGCTCGACATACGCAATAAATAACATGAAAGTTTGTTATGCCTTGTAGTACTCTAACAGGCGTAGAGATTACAAATGTTGTTACAAAATAATAGAATAGTCACCTATTTTATTGATATTCCATTTTTTAATACGCGTCTAAAGAAAGCTTTTACGTCAAAAAAATAAGAAAATGTTTAAAGTATATATTTATTTAAAATATGTATTTATTATTTATATTTTATTTAGCAGCCATCCCTTATTTTGAATAACCCTTTATAATGTTCTTGAATAACCCACAGATATGATTACTTCGACCGGCACTAATGAAGCCTTCGAGTACCTACGTCTCTACATAACCAAATCGTGCCCTCTGCCGCAAATTGTGTTTACAATTATATAAATATCAACAGCGGCGTTAACTTGCCAAGAGATTCAAACAACAAACAAACATGCGTATTTTCTTACTGTATAGAAATAGAAAGAACTTCAAATTAAAGCTATACATCTTTTTTAGACTTTTTACTACATACAACTAGTTCTGCCCGAGTCTACGTTCGACCGAAAGTATTTTTCTCAACAATTTGTATTAAATTTTCATGCTAAGGGATGCTGCTTTTCAAATTTAGGACATCTTCGTTTATTTGCTCTATATGTGTATCATCTTATAATCTCGTTTAAGTGTTTCGTGCCTGAGACCTTGGGAGGCAATTTCTACCTACTAGATACGGCACCTTGTGCACTTATCTTATTGGACGGTCTAACTATTGGCTTTATAATATGAACCTTTAAACTTCTTAGTATTGATTCCATGATCTATATGTGGAAGATAAAATTTATTTTGTTAAATTCTTAACACTGCCTTCGTATTTTTGTAGAAATATCATGTTATCAGTTATGTCATCAATGACTCCCATTACGGCATTCGGCTATAATACCCTTGCAAAGAGTGTTGACGGATCAGACGATGTTCGGTTATGAGCAGAGCACTTTGCTCATATTAAGTACTCTGAATCTACCGAGGTACTTATCGGATAATCTCTGTTTCGTTCCAATTATTTGTTTTTTACTAGATATTTTATAAATTATTGCTTTTGAATAATGTGTTATTATTATAACTAAATGTATATTTTAAAATAGTTGTCTATTCGTTTTCTGTCAATCTCCCACATAAATGTTGACTTTTTTAACTTTTTCACGTCATCAGTACCTAAAGAAAGTACAAATAATCGCTGAATTTAAACTAATTTAGCATTAAGCGACCAAGATTTTCCTCAATTTAACCATTTTTAAAGTAATAAAAAGATGAAACTCTCTCTGACACAAAATATTAAAGGCTATTTTAAATTTATACAACTTCGAGAATATCCTTTTGCATACAAATGAAGGAACGTTCTGATAAGTAGATACTCGTAATACCCCGAAATCTTAAGACGTTTGAAGGGACAGGCGAGGGGAGAATCCGTTTTATTAGAGTGTTCTAGCTAGGGGACTTTAATTACATTCATTGTTATATAGGTAATTAGGCTAATTTCATTTAACATTGATTTAAAGTTCATTAAGCAGATCAAAAGCAGTAAATTAAAATATTGTTGGAAACTATGATTATTTAAACAAAAATGACTCTAACAAAAAGAAGTCGTGAAAGGAAGTGCCTGTTATTATTACTTAATTACCTAATAGCCTTTTGCTACACAAAAGTTCGCTGTCATTTTCAATTCTAAGAATGGAAGCCTTTTACGTGTCTTTGGAAAAACACTACATTGTCATAAGAAAATAGTACAGAGTCGACATTCACTTAGTTCCTAGACTTCAATAACAATCTGAAACAAATATTAATATAAAATAAATTATTTACAAAAAAAAGGTATCGAATTATTGTCTTATTACGATACCTTTTTTTAAAAAAAAAAGGTATCGAAATAAGACAATAATATTGAATTATATATGTAATCACCCTCGCGTCGCTCAGGTTCGTCCGTAGATACGTTTTGACGCTTAGTATGGAATAGACTTTTTCCAATATTTTTTTCGAGATTTTTTTCCTATGTTTTAATAGTTGTTCTGCCATTCGAGGCGGAGACAAATCCAACAAATCAAAAACCATGAAAATCGGTCCAGCAGTTCTCGAGTTATAAGTAGTGTAATTAACCCGACTCTGTTTTATATATATGTATAGATAGGAGCTACAATGGACCAAAACTGGTCGACGTAGCTAGGGCCGACCTCGGCACCACACCCAACATAATAATAATAAAAATGTATAGATAACTTTAAATTTTTCACGCTAACAAAGGGAATGGATGTCTGCGATTACAAAAACTGTAAGTATCTATGAATAAAACGTAGTTAATAATATGACATTATTTTTATGTAAAAACTTACAACATAAGTAGAAAATATACGTCACAAGCAAAAGTATTTCGTGTAAGACGTATAATAATAAGAGTTACAAGCTACTATTTTTGTAAACAAATCGTACTGTTATCTTGAACTGATATACTTGAGTATTTTTCACATGGCCAAGTATTTGCTTTGATTTTCGTAATAACTACGTTACCAAATTTACGAAGCTACTGAAATTTAATATCGCCATACCTATTATCCTCTTCATGCACACTCGTCGGGGTCCTCTCTCCTCAGACTTTTGACCTCACCTTATTAAGTATCAGAAATAATTAGTCTTCAAAAATCATCCGAGTGTTCCACTGCTACGCACTCCACTCACTCTTCCAGAATATATCTTTTTGACCATTCTTTTATAATTCATTCTCTCTACATATTATTTGTAAATAATTTCAAATATGGAGGTTTTATTCGTTTTTTCATGGTAAACAACTTTTATTACTAATATCTATGATTACTTTAATTTGGTTAAGTTACAAACATAATAGCACTCTATTTTATGCCATAGCCATCGATCAAAAACTAGATACACAATCCCATGCAAAAGTTCTCTTAAAACTGTAACCAATTGTGTTTAGGTAATTATTTTACTTGAAATAAATTTACGACAATGTAAATTGAACCTTAAATGCAATGCTTAAAGTTATTTTCACAAAAAAAGTTAAAAGCGCGCTTAAATGTTTTAATGAGCGCTCACTCGGTGAGGGCATTTTTTGTCGCTGATTGTGTATCTGGAACTTCTTTGATCGATGGCCATAGCACACGATAATGCAAAGTGAAGAAAAGATACCGAAGAATCTTCACGGATTCTAAATTTTTTACTGCATATTTTGTAACAGCAGAAATACGAGTATACACTACATAATTACTATTTTATCCTTTTCCAAACATCCCTAAGTCCTATATTTTTTTAGTTAAAAGTTATCCGACCTATTTAAAATGTTTGCTAAAATAATTTACGTATAGTTAAGTAACGAAATACTTCAAGAAATATGAATCCGTTTGAATTATTTCAATTAAAACAAATTAAGAAAAAAGTTTAATTTTATAAAACAAAAATAAAATATCATAAAACCGATAATATTATGAGGTTTTGTTGGTTATTTGCAGCTGCCACCGCCCCCGCATATCGAGCTCGTGATGTCGATGCCGTACCTACGAACCGCCTTCAAAAGACCAACAGTACGAGTTAGACGTGAGTTGATAATTTTCATCATTTTCTGTGTACATTACAATGCCAGTTTTCCAATTCTGATTTATTTTATGTATAACATTTTATCTATTTTGTTTATTATAAATTTCTCAGAGATCAGATATTTTTCCGGAATAAAAAATATCCTATATGTTCACCCGGTTAACTGTAGCTTTCTCGTGATACGATACCAGACAGACAGACAAAAAATCCAAAAACTATAGATTCGGCCTCTGTATCGATAATAATGACTATTTCATGAAGATTTTCCAAAAAAATATTTAATGTACAGATTCGACTCAGAATTTTATTATATGTACCTATAGATAGATAAATAAAATGAAACTTTTTAATAAATTATTGTCATCGGGAAATTGTAGCAAACCTTTTCTGACCCAATTCCAGCTCATAAGATGAAGGCTCGTAATCGACCAGCGTAATGTCAGCGAGAGACATTTTTATAATTTTAAACTGCGAGAGATTGGATAAAGAGAAATAGAATGAATGGTTTTTGATTCTTATTTTTGCAGTATTGTTTCTATTATAAAATGATTTAATAAAATGAAATTAAAAATATATTTTACATCACCGTACTTTACCATTTAAAAACTACTTTTGATGGCTATAATCTGTACATATAATAAAATTGTAAGTAAGCCGAATCTGTACATTAAACATTTTATGGAAAATCTAATTGAAATAAACATTATTATCGATATTGAGGCCGAATCTATAGTTTTTAGAATTTCAGTCTGTCTGCCTGTCTGTCTGTTACCGCATCACAAAAAACCACTGGAGGGAAAATGATGAAATTTGGTATGGTGATAGCTGGTTATCCGGGTCAACATATAGGATACTTTTTACCGCGAAAAAATGTCTTATTTCTGAGAAAACATGCAAAAACTGCACAGTATACTAATCTGTAAAACCTAAGAATTTGGTTTTTGGTCATCATAACATTGATGAATATGTAAAGTAGCCTAAATCTAAACTATTTGAATTTTATCAGTCTTGTCTTTATTTTGTAAGTATAATTATAGTCATATGAATGTACAGCGTTGTTGCAAAGCTACTTTGAGCAATTTAGCTTTTATCCGAATCTACTTAAATAATTTAACTTAAATCATATAGAAATACTGGATAAGATATTACAGATTGCAACTACAACGCGCAACTACTAATAAATACATATTATGTATATTGAACTAGCTGACCCTAAAGAAGTTGCCTTGTCAGAAATTCAATAAAGCTTGAGATCTTTGAATTTATATAGTCCTGTAGGTAAAGGCATTTTCAGTATTCGAAATTTTTCTGTTTTCCGGGAAAATTTTACAATTTTTTCCCTAAAAACCTTATTCTAGCTAAAGAGCATTGTCAAAAAGAAAATTAGCCAAATTTAGGCGTTGTTAAGTAATCTGCTTACCAAAGAACAGATTTTTTTTCGTAGATATTATATTTTATATCCTACCTAAAATCAGGAGTTTGTAATATATAGATGGAAAAGTAAAAAACCATCTACCATTTATAAAATTACTGACTCGGATCTCCGATAATCGAGTTTACGGTTCAAACAACGGCAAATCGATTTTGGGTGTCGCATTAATCAACGCTCAAGTTATATCAGTTTCTAAACATTAAATGAAAGTAGATCTTATTACAAGAGTGTAAAGTTTATAATGTTTCAAAAAATCCCATAACAGGTATAAGACATATTCGTAAATTCTGGCTCAATCTAATATTTGTCGTGTGGAATTTTTGCTGTCATCTGTTCTTTTGTATTCGTTCAGGTTGTATTTGAAGCATTTTTATTTTAAGCTCGCGACATCGTTTTCCTTGAGGCTAGGAAAGTATAAAAGAAGATATTAATGCTTAAGCCTAAACTTTCATATAAAACCAAATAAATGTTTTTAATAGTTGCTTATATAGGCAAGATAGATGGAAAACTAGGCAAGTATTTTAAAAATAAAAAATCTTTTACTTGAGAAATGATTGATTTCCCATTTAAACTTTCACCCCCCTTTTTCACCCATTAAGATATGTTTTCCGGGACTAATGCAAACTTTTTTGTAGGCCTTTTTAACACCTACAATTTTCTAGTATATTGTTTTGATGTATCTCATAAGGTTTTTTCATTTTTTTCATTTTTTCATATCTTCTGAGGACGCCTCGATAGAACCAGTTATTGTATTTTCCCGTGGGAATAGAAGTTTTTTCTGTACTAAAAGGTATCCTAAATGTTAACCCGAGTAATAAGTTATCACTAAACAAAATTTAGTTATAACTGGTTCAGTACGTTTTGCGTGAAACGCGCATATCGATTTCTCTAAGTAACAGTTTATGTTGTTATATGTATAGATTTCACACAATAGCCTTTAGCGTTAGTCGGGATTCCGCGCTTTTTTTTTTGATTTCCAGGACCGAAGGTAAAATTTCATTGTTTTAAAGTATATTTATTACATATATTACTAGCGACTTTGTTCCCGTTTGACGCGAAGTTTGTTCGCTATTTCATGGGTTTTAATTTTTTTTTTTGCGCGGAACCCTAATCCTTTTTTTTAAATAAAAGTAGCCAAAATGACTCATAAAATTAGCTATCTGCCAGTGAAAGCAAGATATTAGCCAGAACAAACAGACAGACACAATTTTTTTTATTGTTTTTTTTTATTATAAGTGCTGTAGGTATATATACTTTAATATGTATTTAGTAAAAAGCTGTTATTTTGACATTACAAACACTTCAATTTTATTTATCTGGTATAGATTATTTATAATAAATACAGAGTATAAAAACTTAGTTAACAGATAATTATGTTTTTAATTGTATGGCTTTAAAAAGTTCAGAAATATTAAATTCATCGTGAAAATATTACGGGTTGTGTACCTATTTAGAAAACAACATCAAAAATATATTACAAAGAATATTGCAGAGCGTGTTCAAGCCACATCTTAAACCCTTCGTTTCATCTAAAGCTACGATATTATGCGAATTATAATGAAGGATATTCCCACTAAATAGGGTCTTATTTAGCTCTACGTCTGCAATCAAGATAAAACACCTAACGAGTGACCTGGCGGCCGCAAAACTTCGGCCAACCGTCTGAGATTAGATAAAAACAATTTTGCCTAATCACTGTTACTATTAACGAATATAACTAATTACTTTCCCCGTGTATGTGGACATATCACATGATGCTATATAGAAACACGTTTACTGACGACAGGTTTGGCTCAGTTTGTAGTGACCCTACTTGCTGTGCCAGCGGTCGCGGGTTCGAGTCCCGCTGGAGGCATTCATTTGTGTGATGAGCACGAATGTGTGTACTCTAGTCATGGGTGTTTATATTTATGATATGTATATATTTAAAGTTATATGTATATGTGTAGTGTATCAACTATCTGGTATCCATAACACAAGTCTCGTAGCTTACCATGGAACTAGATTGTGCTGCGTGTTAATGTCCCAGTATATTTGTTTATAACACGTGCATTTTTAAATTACATTAATTATTTTAAATACTAAGACTAAATTGCATTGGGGTCGAAAGTCTTTCTGTATATAAAAAAATTCTGAATTCTGAGTCAGGGGGATGTAAGAAGAGAAATAGAACAAATCCAGAGTTTTTCAATTTTTTGTTTCTCTGACTGTTTGTCTGTTTGTACGAAATAATCTCCGAAACTGTTGGACTGATTTAAATTAAATTTTACGTCTTATACTACTTATATCTACGAGTATTATACTACTTTATATCTCCAGTCAACATTTTAGATACTTTTCATCCCGAAAAATTAAAGAGTTCCCATGGGATAGTTAAAAAACTACACTAAAATTTATGCACCTAATTTAGTAAAATTTGGCACGCTGATACCTTATATTGCCGATCAAACAATGTATATTATAATATGTATAAATCCTATAAAAGTGATGGGTTCTCGCGGGAAAGTAAAACATTACAAAAACAGTGTCTAGCATAGCGTCTTTCATATCAAATCAATTGTGTGTGACATTTTGACCTAAGGCAAAGGTTATTTTTTATACCAGAAAAATGTACGGTTCCCGTTTGATAGGTTTGTTTTCGTTTTCATTAAAATAAACAAGAAATTAATTTCAGTCAAATTCGCAGTGATTGGATAGAGATAACAGATATAGTTGACTAAAATTGATTTTTATCAACGCAGACTACATCGTCTATGCAAATGGGCCCACTGGCTTAAACTATTAAAGACATAAAAACTATAAATCTGTTTACTCTTGCTTTATAACATTTATAAAACTAAATCAATTTATCAATACTCCGCTGTGATTATGCACTTTTCTGTAGCTATGATGTTCTCCTAGCCGATTCCGGCTACGGCGGCCAATCTCATTGAGACTAGCCAACTGCGCAGGAGATATTATAGTGCACAAGTGTACGCGCAGACACAAGTGTACTCTCTATTCCTATCACTCTCATACTCCGGTGGGACATCTGTAGCTATATGAACAATGTAAAGATTCCCGTCGAAAAGTCGAAATAAATTGACCTTATCTATACAGATAAATAAAACATACAACAACAAACAGACATTTCAAGTCTGTTTGTTTTGTCAAAATAACAGCGTTTTACTAAATGCATATTAAATTATATACGGTACTTATAAGAAAAACACATTTTTTTTTAATTATTGTCTGTATGTCTGTCTGTTTGTTCCGGATAATATCTGAAACAACTGGACTGATTTTGACGGGACTTTCACAGGAAGAAAGCTGATGTTAATAGAGAGTAACATAGGCTACTTTTATTTTAGAAAAAGAATTAGGGTTCTCTCGAAAAAAATTAGAGCGTACCTAGGGACGAACCCGAGCGAAGCGAGGGTGAGTTGCTAGTCTATACTAATATTATAAACAGAAAATATTTTTTCTATGTTTATACCGAATAAGCTCCGAAATTACTGGACCGATTTATATGAAATTTGGTAAGTAGATAGTTTGAGACTTAGATAGATTTTATTCCCGAAATCATGCCTGAAAGTTTGTATGGGGAATCAACCTAGGGACGTAATTCGTTAGTTCTCTATAATATGGACAGTAATATAAATCTCTAAGGAAATTTAATATAACTTAGAGGCTTCTTACTCGACAAAGATATTGCAATAACAACTAAATGTAATTTCATAAAAAGCACGTAATATTAACGTTTTAACTCGACTTCGCTCGCGTATTTTTTTGTAAAATTCCTGCGCATTAAAAAGAGGTAGCCTTTAAGTATAACCTTAATCAATTTTATTCTAATATATAAAGCATAAGAGCTTTTCCGTATAACATTAGTACGTGAATACGGAAATTCTACATCTAATGCAACGGATCCGATTTGAAAAAGTCTTAATATTTCCTAGATTATATATTTATTTATATATATATATATATATAAATAGGTATGATGAGTTTTATATCCCTTATATCCCTTACTTGAGAAATGATTGATTCCCCGTACAAAGTTCCACCAACCTATTCACCCCCTTAAATGATGATTTTCGGGGTAAAAAATATCCTATGTCCTTCCTAGGGTCTCAAACTAACTTTATACCAAATTTCGTCTAAGTCGGTTCAGCGAATTAAGCGTGAAAACTACGTAGGAATATTATGACAAGAGAACCTCAATAACATTTATACTTAATTAAGATCGATTTTCTTAAATCCTTAATAATTAAGAAATAAAGACATATAAACACTATCAGTAATACATAAAGACGTATCACGTAGATCGTGTAAGTCACTATGTGGCCTAAAATACCAGATGACTCTATTTATTATCTCGTACTAAGATTTTCCGCTTTTGCTCAAGAAAAGTAATTCGAAGATAATGCCCCAGCTGTTTCTTTATTCTCCCGACGCTGTTATACCTCGATGTAGGTCTAACAATTTCTATTTTAATATCTCTATAAGTTAAAATTAATGATAATAGTAGTATTATTAATTATAGTTATAATTAAACGTAAATATAAGTAAAATGCTAAATTTTCCTTGCTCTGGATAAAACTTGGGAAAGCGGCAAAAGCTTTTTTTCGAGTTACTTTCAATGTTGATGTGAAAAATGTATTTCGGGTTGTCATAGACAGCACTTGACAGCTACAACGTTAGCCCGAGAGCTCGTGACGAATTTTGGGAAGGTCCTTTTGGCAAGTTGAAATTGTGAAAAAATATAATTTCGTGAATTGGAAGGTCCAGTCCCGCGAGTCTGGTATAGCGTTAGCGGTTATTTCGTTACTGCGCAGTATACCTACAACATTTGCAAAAAAATATCAAAATAAACATATTTTTGGCAACTTGATTTTTGTTTAGTCTTTTAATTTAGTTTCCATATAATTCAAAAAAAGGACCTCAGACGTTTTTGTCGGTTATAAAGTATTACTAGACCTCTCCAAAGGTACTTTATTAAATTCCCAAAAATATACTTTTGGCAATCTGAAATTTTAATCACGTATTTATAGAGTAATTTTCAATACTTGCAAATCGCCAGACGAATTTACCGATTTTAAATCGTTCCCAGACGTAAATAAAGTTTACAAATGCGTGAACCTTGGACCCCCATCAGCTGCTGCAATACCTCAATAAGCTATCTTTTTCGCACCTTTGGCTACGCATAAGACTTTTTTGTAGTACTCATTTGGCTACATAGGCTACTTTTTACCGCAGGAGATTATTTCATTCCCACAGGAAAAACGTAAATAATAATACAACTTAAAAATATATTTTTGATCAGAATTACTTGAAACTTGGTATTAATGCTCTTCAATAATATTAAATAATTACGCATTTTAGCATTTTTAGAAAACATCCCACAAAATAGGGGATGAAAGTTTGAATGAAACCTACCTTTTTAGAGTTCTTTTGTAGTTTTAGTGCGAGCGAAGACGCGGGTTCTGCTAGTAGTTATATAATTCAGAAACTCGGGTCTTATAATTTCAAATTAATGTTAATCAAACTCGCGCTATATATCTACTGTTAATTTAACTTAATACTCAAATATTTATATTCTTTCACAGCATCAACATCTTCAGAAATGTATGCACGGTCTTCGCGAAACGCTGTAGGAGCGCTGGACGGCCGTGGACTGGTTGCTGTGATCAAGAGACAAGTGCCCCTGGCAGGGCAGCTCGATCATGAGCTCGCTTGGGGCCAGGGCTGGGGATGGGTCACATTACCGAATGGAGTTTGGAGTGGACGTAAGTAATACAGTTATATCCTTAAAAGTAAAATATTATTGAACTACATTTTACAGCTGTTACAAATATAATTACCAAGTTTATTTTTGCTATTAAATATCTATTTAATATTATATGGTGTGCATTTTAAAACTCTTTGTCATTTTTAGTCTCTATATTTAAATAAACTTAATAAATAACAATTTCAGGTCTCACCTGGTCCCAAGAAGGTGACGACTTCGCTCTTCACGCGATGCCGATCATGCACCACACCAATGTCTCCCAAGCGTGCTCTGTGCTGGACGGCGTCACAGCGTACGAAGCATCCGCCTATGAACAGGCTCTCGCAGAATATGACGACACTGCCACTACATCTGACGACTGGGACTTCGGAGTTGATTGTGGAGATTTTATGATGTAAACATTAATAGTTCTGATTGGTGACATTTTCCATTATTATCAGATACTAAAATTAAGAATACGATGATTTTTTTGTTTACATATACTCATACATTTAATACTATACTATACTGCTAGGACTCTAGTGCATATATTTACATTACATTACATTATTACGGTGCCCTCTATATATGCACACCTTTCTCTATTTAAAGTCTTTTGCGCATTTTCAAGAATAAAGTACAATTATACTTGAGTCAATTTTAATACCAAGTCGTTGTCAATTCCTCCACCAAAATCACAACACATGCGCTAAACGACGAGATTGGTATGAAAGGAGATAGAAGCAGACGTTTGTTGATTCTCTGATGTGGAAAACACTAACGGGCACTAGCAATATATTAAATATGTATAAGCATATTAAATATTTGACAGATCCATTTTACTTCTGTCACAAAATATTTGAATTGATTGAAATATTCCTAAGCCATATTATTCATTGCTCAATATTAGGTAAAGTCAGTTGATGTGCTGGTCACGAAGGAATTTGTATGTGCCAATTAAAGTGAACTCCAAGTACTGCGAAGTATCTTATGAATTTTATATATGATCAGATTGCGAAATAATAAAATAAGCGAATAAAAAAAGAGTAAAATCGTATTCTGAGTCTCAAATTGATTGGTTGAGTCGATAATACCTGTAATAGTTGCATGCTCCTTAGACGTAACTGTGTTTGTCATAGAAAAGATGTGTGTAGCCATAAAACCTTAGATTCTCGTATTTTATTGTACGGCCTATAACACTTAGGTGATGTTCAATTTTAGACATAGACTTCTTAAGCACCGTAATAGATCTAATGTTGGATAATTATGACCCCTCCCCCTTCCATCCCAATTTCGTTCGCATTTATATAATATATTGCGAAAATATTTTTACAGATTTATAAAAAAATTATCCGAAATCGTATTACTTTTTAACCCTTTAAAATTTTCCAAAATTTTTTGAAAATTTTACGTGTACGAATGCAGGGTAATGTTATGCTTATATTGCAAACGTTTCGTATTCTACACATACATAGTATTGTACTATGGAATCGCACAAAACAAAGTGAATAACCACTATAACTTTTACGTTAATAATAAAATGTCTAGTGATAAGTAAAGTTCGCTTTGTCCCTCATGACACCAATTACCAATGAAATAATAATTATCCATAAAAGTATTGAAAAGTATTAATATATTTAGATGTAAGTAAATTGACTTGGTGTTAGTACGTAGACTTTGGTCGGTAGAATAATCGAAGTACCCGCTGATATGGAGCCTATTCGAAGTTTTAGCGAAAATATGAAATGATCAAAGTCCCAAATACTTTTGAATTGGGGTGTTAAATTATAAACTGTGTACTTTAAATGGAATTCTACATAAAAATGGCCTTAACAAGAAAATAATTTAAATTGTTATATAAAATCGCGCTAACAATATCGGATTGTCTCAAAATAGGCTCCTGCACTAGTTTTCCAATATATGGTTGGTGCGTTTAGCGTGGTATTATTAAAATTTATGTGAAAAGTATAATTATATCTAGACGCTATAAAATCTTCCGACCTACCCAAAGACTGCCTAACGTTATTTACCTAATACCTGTGTTGTGTACAATCCTAGGCACGGTAACCGCAAATGTAACCCTCACGCAGCGGCTCGTTGCATTGCAAGATATCTTATTTATTTCATACAATAGGTTCAAAAGTAGTTTTCGATAGACATGTGAAGTCCGATAATCCGAACTTGGCCAGCGTGGTGGACTATGGCCTGATCGCCCTCGTATTGAAGAGAGGCCTGTGCCCAGCTGTGGAAGGTTAAAAAAGGCTGAGCCGAAAGAAGCTGGCAAAGGTCAAAAGTATCAATATAGTAAAGTATTTTAATATGAGACGTAATATCGTACGTATGTATGTGCATATACCTATGCTACTTCTCAAAAGTGTGTTCTCATGCCAGTATAACATAAACCTTATAACCTATAACCTTATAGGTACATCCATTAATTTTTATTAAAATTAATTGATAAGATATCATTTAAATGGTTATATCCCTCCGAAGGATAAAATATAACTAAACTTTGTTTTCATAAAATTGATATTTACATTAACAATGTAGAGGTACCCCATCTATTAATATTTGTCACGATACTGTGCGAAATCACACGGGTCAACTAGCATTTTTAATTTTACATCATTATAATTAAGTATTATCTATACATATAAAACAAAGTCGGGTTAGTTACACCATTTATAACTCAAGAACGACTGGACCGATTTCTATGATCATTAATTAGTTGTACTTTTTTGTACTACGAACAGCAGAATAATAATTATTAAAACAACAGAAAAAATTACGAAATATAAATACGCTGACTAATAGCTATTTAGGTATATGACGGACAAACCCGAGCGAAGCAAGGGTGAGCCGCTTTTTATCTAAAAATTCTTTTTTTTTATTTTAAATAGTATTGCAGTAACTTAATCAGCATATTGTTTTTTAAATGTAAGCAAGTAATTTTTCAGCTCTTAAAATTATACCTACAAAGAAATCTTGCAATGTAACAATAGATTTAGTAGCAAATTATGTAATAACGAGTTTATCTTTTAGATAAATTAGATGTGTCTTAGTGATAGTGGCGTGAAACCGTATTTCCAACGTGTGTTCTTTAAGTTAAAGTGTTTTAAACCGCGACGTCTGAAATCCCAGGATCGTCGTAAAATATATTTTTTTGTTTTCAATTATAATTTTTAATTATAATTAATTAGGCAGCAATAAAATGACGCTGGATTCGTCGAAATAGATATTTTTGTAACCTGCACGTGTCTAATTATTGATTTTGCAAGTGCTTTTGAGTTTTGTATGTAATATTATGTATTTTAATCAGACTATAGAGTATTTTTAATGAATTATCGATACAATTGTGAGAGATTTGAGTAAACATGCATTTAACTTTCGTAGTATAAAATTATATTGCCAAGTGTAATGATCAATCCAGTCTCTGGTATTCTTATAAGTATATAGAGAGAAATATTTAATTAATGTAAATCTAAATCCTTTTTGTTGCCAGAACGTGTGTCAAACTTAACATTTTTAATAGTAACTGCATTGCCAGTGATTCAAACATCGATTGCAAGTAGCAAAAATCCAATAGACATATTAGTATGCGCTGCGATTTATAATTTATTTAACTTTGTTAATCGAAAACATTATATTTGAAAGGTATGACACATTGCTTTTAACCATAAGCTATTTTTAAAATTAATATTGTCATTTATAGTTTGGAGCTCTACCAATTCTCAAAGAAATGCTGAGTGATAACTCAAAACATTGAAGAAGTTCTGAGAACTAGCGATAAAACTCATTTAATTCTTTAAGTCATCGATATTTTTTTAATTAATTAAATAAGCAAATAAAGCAAGCAAATAGCAAATATAAATTTTATGCATGTACATTTTTTACTATTTATTTGCTAAGGTATGTATTAAAATATGGGTGAAGTATGTAAACACATATTTTATTCTTTATTATTTATCTATCTGTTACTGCATAAAAGGATATTTATGAATTATAAATAATAATTTGAAAACTTGCGTTATTAACCTAAACTATATGAAAAATAAAAAAAATCGGCCTAAAGGATGAAAATCGCAGCGGATACAAATAAGAAGTATAACGACAGCCGAGTATGTAGCTGTGGTAGGTGGTATTTTGACACAATAGATAACGTTCAAAATAAAATGTTTGTATGTAACTTTTGTAAAATAAACGCCGATAAGGTGAAAACCTATGTTTTATTTCTTTCTATAGACCCTTAGCCTACTTTTTTGATAGATTGCAAAACACGTACAGAAATAATTATCATGGCGCATAGGCTACAGTCTCTTCATACACCACTAAACAAGTTTAAGTTTTTGAAAAAAAAAAAGAACTGTAGAAGACGTACGAGATGTTAGTGGAGCTGCGAGATAATTCATTGATATATTAATAAAATTTGATTAAAATGTTTAATTGAAATATAAATGATGTTGATAAATTTCATAGCATACTTGATACTCCTATAACAGGAGAGACTATCTACGAATAAATAATTATTTATTCGTAGGAGACTAGGTACATTAGCTTTTAATAAAATAATAATAAAATTTAAGAAAGAATCAGCTACATAGATGAATGTATGTTTTTGATATGATAGGTATGGCATAATCTGATGTGATTTGAAGTGAAGGTAACAATGAATTTAAATTATGAATTTAAAAATAAAAAAAGAACACCACTTAATTAACTAACTTTGAAATAAATGATTGATGAAATACAAAATTTTCTCATGAACGACTTACGAGTAATACATAAAAATATAACAAACACAATTTCGAAGTTATAGTATAAAATAGAAATATCAGGGGTACCGGTCAATTTTTTTAAATAAATATCATGATACCCTTTTTTAATGTTGGAAAATGCATTTGCGCATACCACCTGCATACATACAGGTGGTTATGTGGTACTGAGCGGATAGAAAAATCAGTACTAACCACAAAAACCCAACGGAAGTTCCCTTACGCGAAAAGCACGATATTAAGAATTTACCTAGCATAAATTATCCTAAAGTCAACGAGAAGTAATCACATAAAATCTGCAGGCGCTACTTTGCGAGAAAAAAAAACTTTAAGGTGCATACACAATTCTAGATTAAATAACTTAGGATCGTCGAACAGCATAATTTTTATTGAAAACCTGCGTTTTTTTACTTCGATATTTTCCTGTTTTCGCTAGTAAAACTTTCGTATTAACCTATTTAGCGGAGATCTTATCGAACATGATGAGATTACGATGCAACTATTAAATATTTATAGCGCCAAATTAAATTCCATTCAGCTCTGCACAAGATATAAAAAAATCTATCCGCAACCCGAAAAGATGTTTTGTTAAAATATGCTGACTTCACTATACTCTGATAATCGTGTTAACTCTAATCATCATCAATCGCTAAATTTCAGTTCAGTCCCCTCGCTTCAGTTAAACAAAATTGGTTCAGTCAATGATCAAAATCAAAAGATTAGCCGGACAGACCGACCAATAAAATGAATGGCTGTTTTGCTTATGATATCGGGCAAATATTCATTTGACCTCAATCAATATCACATACTTTAAATATTTGTGCTTTACAATCAGAGACATTGAAGTGAAACTTCTTTAGGCCATGAGAGGGGAAAAAAGGATTGGTGTTACTACGATTTTTGTAACCGAAACGGTTGTTACGGAAGTAAATAAATAGTCTGTATACTAAAAAATTTGCATCCGTGTATTATTATTTATTTTATTGTAGTATATAATTGACTATGAATGTATTTTATATATATATATATATATATATATATATATATATTATATATATATATATATTATATATATATTATGAATATATATAGGTGTGTGTGTGTATTTAAATCGATAAATAATTTTTTTTTAGTATCTCCTATCCTAATTATGTAAAATATAAATTGAATTTAATACAAAGTACCGATTCCGAAGACCTACAGAACTTTTATTTCTCTATTTTATTTAGAAGTATATTGTAAAGCTATGAATACTTATCTCATATGTTTTAATAAAATATATTAAGTGACTTCAAACTTTGGCTATCATCATAATATTCATTCGCTATCCATATTAGACAGAATAAAAATAAATTATTTTATTACAAAAACATACATTACAACCTCTTTTTGTAATATTTCAAAGTGCTTAATAAATGCAAAAGCTCAGTATCCTATTACCGCTTCTATTCTCTGTATACAGACGATATCTATATACCTCCTGTACGTGTATAGAGTTACAGATCCATAAAACACTGCAGCATCCGCGATGCAGACGGCACTGCAGATGTTTTACATTATGCACTTAAATGGATATAGGTACCTATGGCACCGTAGTATTGATTTTTCGTGAATTATATAAAATAATAATGCATACAATTTGTATATTATCAAATAAAAGATAGTATATTAATATACTCGTATTATGCAATTATGTTGAGATAACACGTAGTAAAGAGGTCCCTGTCAAAAGATTTTAATCAAATAGATTATATCGTAGATTGAATCTAATTTTACATGTCTTAGGGAAACTTATCCTTTAACATAATATAATATAGATGGGGCGTTGCAATTTGCAATGCGATTACTCAGCGCGCAGTCATGCACTAGAGACCGCCATCTCGCGGCTGTACAGCTAAGCCGTAGTCGCTTGGCGACCGAACCCGAAGCTTGTTTAAGTTGTTTAATCGGTGGGCCGAACTCATTCATACCGGCTGTACGCGTTTATACTTTAGTCTATAATAATAACGCGGTATTTTCCGAACGTGCATTCCATTTTCAAAAACAAATCGGCGGTAAAACTATTGAATTGTCAAATTCATGTGTCAAATTTTGTGAATAGTTATGTGTAAATCGCGTGCGTGTAAATATTAAAATTATATTTTGTTAGATATTTTATATTGAAATATATAATAACTGTGTCTTCCATTAAGTGATAAATTAAACTGAATAAAGATTTTTTAGTATACAATGGAGAAAGGCGGAGGCTCTAGACTTCTTCAAATGCAGGTAAGCAACAAGTAAAAATACATAAAACACATAAATATTAATTAGTTTAAAAGTAGAATCTTATTACAATTTAATATGGATATTTTAAATGTTTTCTTCATAAAATATAATTACGAAACTTGATCCTTTTTTCTCTTGCTCTACATTTTTACAATCAGAGAAGAGTGAACACTGGAAACTATTTTTATAAGGATAACACATAATAATTTTAATAATATACGCAAATTCTGAAGACGAATATACGTAGAATTTTATTAAATAATCGAAAAACAAATATGCTTCATAAATATTATGAAATATATGAAAGTAAAGACGAGAAGGAAGTATTTTCACCACAGTTTTCTTAACACAGTCTTTGTCATTTATAACTACTTATACCCAATATAAATATTGTGATTATTTTATATATACACGTAATTATATTCTTATAAGTAATACAATTTAGCAAACACCTGCATTATCCTGTTACCTAAACATAACTTGGCAAGCATATCGGGCGACTTCTAAGCCGGTTCTACTATAAATTGCTGCCATTTCCTTTCGAACTACGTCTCTACGTTTGCATTAAACTGTTAGAAAATTGTTTTTGTTAATTTGAAAATTATAGTTATAACTTCCTTTACAAATCCTTATCGTATACCTTAATAGCTGTATGTAAATATGCAAAGAGCTGATTTATTTAAACAACTATATTATTAAAAAATAGAATTGAATATAGCTTCAAATAATCTCATCACCATAATGTTATCACATAAGCATGACAAGGTAAATATTTACTAGCTATATCCTATCGAAGAGTAGATAAACTTAATAATTCTCAAACAGTTCATAACAAATCAATGAATGTCAATATAAATGCCATAATATTACGAGTATATTATGTCCACGATGTTTACTATTTAAATATAGTTTATCTTTCAACCTATATCATATAAACATAAATATCCTCAACTGGTTTGTACATAGTGAATAATCTAAAATACAATAATAATCGTTAACACTTATTCGATTAAAAGAACACCTAAGACTATATAATAAAGTTTGTATTCGAATGCTTAACATAAACATGTTTCATTTGCCATGTTTTGCGCTGGTTAGTGATTCATCAACGAACATTTTTCGAAACGCTCCAACGACTTGCTACTTAATAATACTTGATTTAATCTCTTTTTCACTTATGATTTAGTTGTAAGTGAAAAAGAGACGATGTTATCTCATTTTTTTTTCTTTCACCGGCTGGGAATTGAACCTTGACCTCTACAGTTTCAACTATTATTGCATCCAGTCAACGGAACCGTTACATCTGTACTGAATGACGTCAGTTAGTCAGTCAGTCTTATATTTGCCTTAGAGAGCCATATTTATGTATAAACAATTCTAAAAATAAGTGAAGATGGTAATGTATAGAGCATGCAGGAATTCACAATTCTATTAACATTAGGTTAGCGCTGTATACATATAATGTAAACCAAATAGGTACATATACGTTACTATAAAACTTGACATGGATTATATATTTGAGATCTGCATGTCTAAACCTACTTACCGTGTTTAAAACAAAACAAACTACCGTTTTATGTTAAAATCTAAGATTTTACAAATGAATATCCGAAACTCGTTGATTCATATTCATAGAACAATTTGCGCTTTTTAGTTTTTACTATAAATTCTTGGGTAAGAAATTAGGTTTTACTCATAAACGTTTTGCCGTACTTTGAGTCCTGCAGTAACAAAACCCATAATCCCATAAATATTATATAAAAGTAGCGAAAGTTTACATGGATGTTTGTTACTCTATCACGCCAAAACGACTCAACGGATCTAGATGAAATTTGGCACAGAGATAGATTATAGTTTAGAATTATGTTACTTTTTATCCCGGAAAAATTTATGGTTCCCGTGGGATATATTTGTTTTTGCTTTTAACCCGGGCGAACAAAAGCGAAGCGAGGGTGAGCAGCTATTTATAAATAAATTTAACTTATTTATAAAATATATAAAATCCAGATTTAAAAAATTATAAGGATTCTCTATCTTATCCTTATTTCAAGATTCAATAAATATTATTCTTATAGACTATAGCGGTACATATATTTACAGAAAGCTTAAAGTTTCCATTTACCAAATTGGTTAAGAGCTTCCATAATACAATTCCCACAAGCTTTTACATTATCCATTATACGGAATACACAAGCGATTATTATTCAAGAGATATGTGTCATCACACCTCGCCCTAGTTTTGGCGATCGATACTGACAAATATACTAATAAAAGTAATTTAGGTCACTACGATTTATTAACATGGCGATATCGGTCTAGGCTAAGTCTAGAATTGGCGAATAGATTATATGTGTTTTCTATAATATTATATTACTTGTATTTGTAAGCGAAAATATAAATACTGGGTTAAAGCTCAGTCTTCTCATGACAATTTGAATATCAAAATTCAATATTAAAAAGTGTTCGAAAGGTATTATTATATTTTTTTCACACTTATGTTTTCGCTTAAAATAATATTTTTCGTCGAGACTCTAGTTCCTATAAAGTCCTCAATTGTTTAATACTTTAAATGTATCGATTAGGCTATTCAATGTCAATTATGCAGTAAATTCGTCACGGAAACCTTTTATGTACCCATAATCCAAATGAATTGCTTTTTTTAAATGTCTAAATCCTCTTATTTACTTAGTTTACGTTTAATTAATCAACATTAGTTACTAATCCTCGCTTCACTCGGGTACGTCCCTAAATTCCTATCAGTAAACTATTTGTTACTACAGGTCATATTGTCTATCCCCCCCCATCATATGAGTATATTATAACAATTTCATCAAAATCGGTTAAGTCCTTTGGAAGGAAAATTACGAACACACGCTCGCCGGATTTTTGTATATATAAACTAGAGACTCACCCTCGCTTCGCTCGGGTTCGTCGTCTAGGTATGTTTTTAACGGTTAGTATGGAATAGATAAGACTATATATTATTATATACATCTATATTATATATAGAAGAAAGAATTATAACGTGTTATCCCGTAGGATTGAGATTTAACCTTTGTCACTCTCCAGCCCTCCACGCAAAAAATAACGCCAATCCGTCTTTCTGTTTGGACGTGAAAGAAATTCAAACAAACAAACATACTTTTACATTTATAATATTAGTATGGAAGTGTTTAAGTACAGATTATAAAACAATGTCATAGCTCGATCAAACAAGAATGTTGCAACGAATTCAACCTTTAAGGGTGCAGCAATATAACCTGTTAAGTTATGACTCGAGCTTATAACCCCTTTATCATGACTTTCATATTGTAATATATTGATATTTAAAAGATTATAAAAGTTATCTTAAGTATAAATAACACTCAAAAATCATATTTTTTACGTTATTATTTTGTACTACATAAATATATCTAAACAAACTATGTACGAGTATATGTGACTACGAGTATTATAGCAGTCAGTATTAATGAGATATGATATCTAAGTTATTTTAAAAAAAGTTTTTAGGAAAAAGTTTATAATATAAATTATAAACTTTTTCCACTCAACCTACATTCAATATCTACTGTACGCACTTGTTATCGATTTGTTAGATAGAACATACTGTATGGCTTTTAAAGTTGCATGCTTACAGACACGATATTTGCATTTTTACAATTTTAATTATTGTTATAATTTCTACTTTTCGCAATTTTTCCATTGTACATATTTATGATAATATAGACAACAACACAATAATTACATAGCGTCAAAATGTGAATCGATAAGTACCCACTTTTGAGCTTTTGATTTTTGAGGAGGTATGTGTGGAAGAAAAATTGCTATCAATTCTAAGCGAGACAATAAAAAAAACAGGTAGTACCTTTTTCTCATATACTTATTTGTCAACTGAATTTCTTATTCCTTTTTTTGTATAGTCACTATTGAAGAGCTTTAGCGTTATCGCTATGTTGTTTATAAATAGTTCGTTTTTTTATTTAGATAAATAGTTTCGACAACTCGGCGAACACTAGGAACGTAAATTGGACCATTATAGGTAACTTAATTTTTATGTCAATTTATTCATATAATAAAATTCTGAGTCAAATCTGTACATTAAATATTATAGTTTTTAGAATTTTTATCTGTCTGTTTGTCTGTCTATCTGACTCTCTGTTTATCTGTCTGTCTGTTTATCTATTTGTTTGTCTGGAAATGCATCACGAGAAATCCACTGGACAGATTTTGATGAAATTTGGTAGGATGATAGCTGGTTATCCGGATCAATATATAAGACACTTTATACTGCGGGAAAATTTTTCATTTCTGAGAATAAAGAACTCTATGATAATAAATAAACCACGTACCTACATAAATAATACGAGCTTTGTTTTTTAGCGAATTAGATAACCCTTTTTGGATGCTAATATAAATGGTTCGCACTGGCAACGGCCTTAATGCTAAAACGTCGTCAGTGGGAGGATAAGATCGGCTTTAGATAACCGTTTTCAGAAATGCAATAACACAACCTACATATTTGCCTTCGAATGTAAGGACATATTTTTTTTCGTATTATTTGGAACAGTTAGTATAGGTACATATAGCAGTTAGTATCTTCCTAAGATCAGTGATCATGTAGATATAGATAGTACTCCAAATAAAATGAGAACTTGCGATTGATGGATCTAGAGTAAAAAATTAACACATCCATATAAAACCCAAACATCGTAAAGAATTACGTTACACGATCTCCTCTTCTAATCTGTTATCTCTTTATCCATCCAATTTTTTTTATGTATTATGTGCTATATGTACTAAAAACTAACACAAAACATTACCAAACTGTTTCTGCTTCACTGGGCTCACTGTAAAGTACTATATGATTAATGCGGTAGAGTGTAGAGCTTTAAGTTTTAAAAGAGAGCTTAGAGAATAACATTATAATATGTTCCTTTCAAATATCCCCTTCTTTTCAAAACCTTTAGAGTTCATATAAAAAAGTTTTTTTTAGTTATATA